AATTTCTTTTCAAGAACCTGTTCAGAACCATGTTTTTTTTTGGAGTCAAATCCAAATTGTGGCCGGCTGCCCGAGCCGCACCCAGCCGCATGTAGCTCGCAAGCCGCGATTTTCCGACCACTGTCTCAGTGTATTCATAGTATAGACTTTGTCTTTATTCTCTTAGTTAATTTGGTTCATTGAGTTTGTCTATATTCTCTTATAGTGGATTAAGTTCCTAGAGTTTGTCTATATTCTCTTAGTAGATTCAAATCCTAGAGTTTGTCTATATTCTCTTATAGTGGATTAAGCTCCTAGAGTATGTCTAGATTCTCTTAGTGGATTCAGTTCATTGAGTTTGTCTATATTCTCTTAGTAGATTCAAATCCTAGAGTTTGTCTATATTTTCTTATAGTGGATTAAGTTTCTAGAGTTAGTATCTATTCTCTTAGTGGATTCAGTTCATTGATTTTGCTTACATTCTGCCACCGCACTCACCATTTTCATCTTCATCTTCTGCCAGCAACTTGTTGAAAGTTGTTTCCAGCTCGTCAATGTCAACGCGGTCAAGTTTGCTCAGCCGTAGCCAGTAGATTAGCCGGTACAACTGTTTGGTGGGTGTTTTTGGGGGGGGGGGCGTAAGGAGTGACAAGTACATGAAAATATTGAGTTGCTTTTTTGTTGTTGTTGTTTTGCTCATGGTTCATTGTCCCCTTTGTTGTTTTGCTCATGGTTCATTGTCCCCTTTGTTGTTTTCTTCAGTGAAGCAGCATTTTTGATGACATATTTGTGGAATTGTTTCGTTTTTAGCTTCAAGTTTAACTTTTTCTTCGAGTTACGTTTTCTTCCCCTCCTTTTTAAAGCTTGACATCTCTCTCTCTCTTTATCTCTCTCTCTCCCTCTCTCGTTCTCTCTCTTGACTCTCTCTGTCTCTCTCTATTTCTCTCTCTCCCCCCCTTTCTCTCCCCATTTCTTTTCTCTCTCCATATCATATGTTTCCCATTTTACACACAAACTCCTTCAAATATCTGACGACCTGAAGCAACCTCTGACATTTTTTTCAGGTAACCTACCCGAGGGTGTCATTACCCGCAGGTTGGGAACCACTGCCATAAACACATAAACAAACCAAAAATCAAACATGGAGCGGTGCCTCGCTGAATGCGTCACTGTTGCCGTTCCCTGGTCGATAGCTGATTTCATTTCTCTTACGCTAACATACACACATTATTTTAATAAATATTTCCATCATCATCATGGCGATACCATCCCAGCCTTCCTTCAGTTCAGTCAAGTGTTTCACTCTTTCAATGAGTGTTAACTCACATTTGTACTATTGAATTTTATGACAGAACTTAGAAATGACCCTCACTTACTCTCTCTCTCTATCAACCACCTCCCTCCACCCCCTCTCCCTCCGCCCCTCCACCCCCTTCCTCTCCCCCCCCCTCTACCTGTCTATTGCTCTCTCTCGCTCTCTCTTTCTCACACACATACACACCCGCACAAAGCTTTGGCTCCTCAGTGCCATCAGCCAGTCAGTATGTCAAATGAAATATTAATTTTTAAACAGCAACTGTCTTGGTCATAACCAAAGCTACGTCTCTTGCTGAGACAAATAATTAAACACAATTCGCAGAGGAGAACCTCGTTAGTTTCAGAGCATGCAGTTCATGTGGCTTACATTTAGTTTCCCACCAATCGCTAGTCCAATTTTCAACATTATTATTTATTTAATCAAATAAAAGGTACCCCAAAATTATGTACAAAAAAAATAATTATTGTTTCTATATATCTCTCAATTGGTTGTATCACAAGTATAGACAATTAGAGGATACTCTTGTTTTAAATACCCGGACTCGGTACCATTGTTTGCCGGGTACAGATTTGCGACAGGTGCACTAATACCCGACATTTCCGATATCTGGTTCATTACTCGGCCTAGCCCCATAGAATAATCAAAATTAAACCGATTAGTCCGAACAGGACAGAACCGGCATCAGTATATCAGTTTTTCTACAACCCCGGATTTTAAAAAAAAAGCAATCTTAGAGCATACAACTTACGTGGACTTCGCTGATTGGTTCCGCGAATATACCGGAAATGATGATGTAAGCGAAACAAAGGACGAACAGGAAAATCCCGAAGTGGAGAAAATGAAAGTGTGCAAGGATGTGCGGCACGGCGCTCGTGTTCTCCTCCCCACACGTCACTGTGCCGCGGATGAAACTCCACAGAAAACGTATGGATCCGACTGCTATGCCCAGTAGGAGAGCTGTGAATACACACTGGGGGGGGGGAGGGAGAGAACAGTTTACACAGTCGTCATCGGAGTTTAGATCGGTTGCTGAAAATACCAAGCGCTGTCTTTACTGATACACCCGTCGGAACATTGAATCTTTGGGAAACCCTTGCAAGCTTCTTGCAGCCTTACCCCTAATAGGCAGTCTCAAGACTTGCCCTTGCAAGCTTCTTGCACCCTACCCCCAATAAGCAGTGGCGAGACTTGCCCTTGCAAGCTTCTTGCACCCTTACCCCTAATAGGCAGTCTCAAGACTTGCCCTTGCAAGCTTATTGCACCCTACCCCCAATAAGCAGTCGCTGGACGTTCCCTTTCACGTTCCTTGCACACTCCCCAATAGGCAGTCGCGAGACTTGCGCATTGGTAGTTATGTCCACCGGTCACAAAGTTCGTTGTCTCAGTCCGAGATGAGGAAATAAAACTAAAGCGTCAAACGGATAACTGTTGGACTAGATACTCAAGAGCCCTAGACCACGAACCCTTGAAGAAATACATTGAACAGAAAATTTACACTTCCCCCTCCCCCCACCCACACCCTAAAAATAAATTAAAATCATTATCCTCAAAAGTATTGGCGTTATTTTATAAAGCAGTGATTCTCATCCTCTATCTCTTGTTTTGTTGTTCTCGGGTTCAAACTTGCCCACATCTTGTTTAACGTTTCCTTAACGTTCCTCCGAACTGCCCGACAGTGGCGAAGGAGGCGAATGGTTCCTCCCCGGTGGGAAATTATTCTTTATATTTTACTTTTGCATTTTTGGCTAACTTCGATATTTTTTTCATTTATTTCCTTTTTTTTTGCTTGGGAGATGGCGGCAAAATGTTGGCCTACCCCAGGCGGCATTGCTGCCCGGATATTGGATTATCGGAGAAGGATATAAATAATATAATCAAAGCGATACTGTCGGTTGAATTATTTTTTTTTTAAACAAGAAGAATGCCTCACCTTTTCAGTGGCTCTCTCCCAAAAAAGTCCGGCCAGAAATACAGCCGCGATGGGAGGAGCTAAGATACTCGTGACGGTCTGAATGTAGTCCATGACAGCTGGCATGCTGCCAACAACTGGGACCCACATCAAGCTAAGGATCGCCAAACATACAATGGAGATTCTGGGGAGTGACATTGTCACAGCTGACGTGTTACACTTTGAAATTGTTATTTTTTAAAAAAAAATAATCTTTGGCATTGTCCTTGATCAAATGTTATCAATAATGCTATAACAAGTTATATTTAGTTCATTTCGCCAAGAAGCGTTGTTCTGTTGGTCACACGCAAAGAGCGGTCAATTTTGGTACAGACATTTTCTTAAACGATATACAATTTGACCAAAATTTATTTAAATGCATTCTCTCAGAAGGAGAAAACCTGGCAAATTCAAAGTCTCGTACACAATGGATAGTTCTCTCATAAGACTTATACTGACTTGGTGGCCGTCATGAGTTGCAATGCCCTAGCAGACCTATGGTCATCTACAGGGACCTATACTGACTTGGTAGCGACCATCAGCTCCAGTTGTCTAGCAGACCTATAGACACCTACAGGGACCTATACTGACTTGGTAGCGACCATCAGCTCCAGTTCACTAGCAGACCTATAGACACCTACAGGGACCTATACTGACTTGGTAGCGACCATCAGCTCCAATTCACTAGCAGACCTATAGACACCTACAGGGACCTATACTGATTGGTAGCGACTATCAGCTCCAATTCACTAGCAGACCTATAGACACCTACAGGGACCTATACTGACTTGGTAGCAACCATCAGCTCCAATTCACTAGCAGACCTATAGACACCTACTGGGACCTATACTGACTTGGTAGCAACCATCAGCTCCAGTTCACTAGCAGACCTATAGACACCTACAGGGACCTATACTGACTTGGTAGCGACCATCAGCTCCAATTCACTAGCAAACCTATAGTCATCTACAGGGACCTATACTGACTTGGTAGCAACCATCAGCTCCAATTCACTAGCAGCCGGCCTCACGTTCCGGTAAATGTTGATGGCAAAGATGGTACTCCCGCTGTTAAGGCATGCCGTAATGGAGGACACGCAGCAGGAGAGGACGGCAGCCAGAACCAGCCCTCTGGAATAGATATTCAAAGTCTGAGCGAGTCTTTGACTTAATATGAGAACAAAGAAATCGATAAATGTATCAATAAAAACAAAGACATCCTGCATGTAAAAGAAATTTAAAAAAAATGATGTGTGTTAATAATGTTATAGATATTCTCATAATGGAATTTTATTGCAAGCAGACGTGTGCCCGTTAAAATTAAAAAATAAAAAAAAATTTAAAAAGTGACTCTCATTGTATTCTGATAATTCAACACTGTTTCAAATGTTTCTTTTGCTGCCCTCTCGGATACTACTTCCCAGCTAAAAGTGCTATTTTAATTTAATTCTGTTATTCTTTTGTTTGTTCGCTGACGAAGGCTTCCTGTCGACACATTCGTTGTTTTGTTGCGTTCATTTTTTCCATGTTTCCCCATACTTTGTTGCACTCCTTTTTTTTTTTTTTTTTTTTTTGCTGACCGGATTGCAGTCTCTCTCTCTTTCTCTCTCCCCCCCCCCAGCCCCCTTATTACCATTTCAAATGTGGTCACTCTTAGTGTTAGTTCCAGACAGGTTCGCGACGGGCAACGAGTTATTTGAATGAGGTCACCCACCTGTAGTTTTGGGGCACCACGTCCAGAAATAAGAGTGGGAAGGCCAGGTTGGAGCAGCCATTTCGAGACTTGCACGTATTCTGACATACAGTCGGGTCAGCACAAGCTACGATGTCTACAAAATGAACGAAAATAGTATTTAAAAAAAAAAATCATTGAGCACAGAAATAAGGAATATTTGTGACGTCATAGAAACAATTCTCCCATCTACACAAAAAAAACAAAAAAACAAAAACACAACAACAACAACAACAAACTACGTGACGTAGTGACAATGAAAGTGATCAGACACTCTACTGTTTAATGTTATGAAAGATTTGTTACTACACAACTGTGATTGTATTTGAAATCTTTGGTCATTGAATCGCGTTGTATTTAAATTAATGATAGCACTGCCCACCCATCCTGTAGTGCTGCCCACCTATTACGTAGTGCTGCCCACCCATCATGCAGTGCTTCCCACCCATCATGTAGTGCAGCCCACCCATCACGTAGTGCTGCCCATCAAACAAGTAGTACTTCCCACCCATCATGTAGTGCTGCCCACCCGTCATGCGGTGCTGCCCACCCATCATGCAGTGATTCCCACTTATCATGCAGTGCTGCCAACACATCATGTAGGGCTGCCCACCCATCACGTAATGCTGCCCATCAAACAAGTAGTACTTCCCACCCATCATGTAGTGCTGCCCACCCATCATGCGGTGCTGCCCACCCATCATGCAGTGCTTCCCACCTATCATGCAGTGCTACCAACACATCATGTAGTGCTGACCACCAATGATGCAATGCTTCCTACCCAGCATGTAGTGCTTCCCACCCCTCTTGCAGTGCTTCACACCCATCATGCAGTGCTTCGCACCCATCACATAATGCTTCCCACCGATCATGCAGTGCTGCCCACCAATCAAGTAGTACTTGACACCCATCATGTAGTGCTTCCCACCTACCATTTAACGCTCGACACCAATGAAGTAGTTATACCCACCCATCTTGTAGTGCTGCCCACCAATCAAGTAGTACTACCCGCCCATTATGTGCTGCTGCCCACCTATCAATTAGTGCTGCCCACCAATCAAGTAGTACTTTCCACCCATCTTGTGGTGCTGCCCACCAATCAAGTAGTACTACCCACCCATCATATGTAGTGCTACCTATTCATCATTTAGTGCTGCCGACACATGACATCATTACAGCGATGGCAGTGAACTCTAACGTCACTTTTCTTTGAATAAATGACATACGACAACCCACAATAAAAGTCATGTCCCAACGGCATAACACTCACATATCCCCGAACTCCTCCGTTGTTATTATTGAGTGTGAATATTCTATTCGATGCCTCCAATTTAAATTGCTTGTGACACGTACAATGGATTTGTATAAGTATATCAATATATATGTATATCAATTTATATATATATATATATATATATATATATGTATATCAATATATATATATATATATATTCACACACACACAAATTCAATGCCACTATGGGAACTTATTCTATTTACCTATCTACAAAATCCTGGCCACTATGGGAACTTATGCTATTTACCCATCTACAAAATCCTGGCCACCAAGGGAACATGATCTATTTACCTGTGTCCAAAATCCTGGCCACTATGGGAACTTTTTCTATTTACCTATCTACAAAATCCTGGCCCCTATGGGAACTTATGCCATTTACCCATCTACAAAATCCTGGCCACCAAGGGAACATGATCTATTTACATGTGTCCAAAATCCTGGCCACTATGGGAACTTTTTCTATTTACCTATCTACAAAATCCTGGCCCCTATGGGAACTTATGCTATTTACCTATCTACAAAATCCTGGCCACCAAGGGAGCATGATCTATTTACCTGTGTCCAAAATCCTGGCCACTATGGGAACTTATTCTATTTACCAATGTACAAAATCCTGGCCCCTATGGGAACTTATTCTATTTATCTATCTACTAAATCCTGGCCACCAAGGGAGCATGATCTATTTACCTGTGTCCAAAATCCTGGCCACTATGGGAACTTATTCTATTTATCAATGTACAAAATCCTGGCCACTACGGGAACTTATGCTATTTACCTATCTACAAAATCCTGGCCACCAAGGGAACATGTTCTATTTACCTGTGTACAAAATCCTGGCCACTATTCCAGGAAAAATAAGGAACAAGATGGTGAGAATTTTGCCGTACGACGTTAGGAGGCACGCCCACTTTGCATGGACGATATTCTTGGCACCCAGTCCGAACTGGACAATCAGCTGGAGACGAGGACATTTAGGGCATTAGGGACATTGGGGACATTAGGGATATTAGGGACATTAGGGACATTGGGGACATTAGGGACATTTGGGACATTAGGGACATTAAGAGCATTGAGGAAATTGAGCATTACAACCTAAATCTTAGTAAAGGAGAATTGCAACCTAACTCTTAGTATCTGAGAATTGCAACCTAAATCTTAGTATTGTAAGGAAACCTTGCTTGCTCTCTGCTAACCTTCATCTATATCTGGCATTCACTAAGGAAACAACTCAAGCGATAACATCTGATGATTATAATCTTGTTCTTTATTGAGCTGACACTTAGCTTATACTTTCTCTCATCTCGCAACTCTGACTACCCTCTTCTCATACCGTCAGAGCTCTCCCTGACTGTCTGCTTCTCTATCCGGCCGCATTCTGTCTAGTCCTGTCCAGAGGTCCCTATTTATAAGTCCCTGGTCAATAGAGTTTCTTCCCAGGTCTGTACTCGCGCCCGCCCCTTTGATCAGTCGGCGCACTATCCCCCGCCCCTTTGATTAGTCGGCGCCAGGTTACCAACCAGTCGTCCCAGGGAAATACCCTGGTCAGATGGCCGGTACCCTGCTGTGAGATCTGAAGCGTCCGGCGCCGTCGTGGTCCGAACTCTCCACAGTATTTGAGAATTGCAACCTAAATCTTAGTATATGAGAATTGTAACCTAACTCTTAGTATATGAGAATTGCAACCTAAATCTTAGTTTATGAGAATTGCAACCTAAATCTTAGTATCTGAGAATTGCAACCTAAATCTTAGTATTTGAGAATTGCAACCTAAATCTTAGTATCCGAGAATTGCATCCTATCTGAGAATTGTAACCTACATCTTAGTATTTGAGACTTGCAACCTAAATCTTAGTATTTGAGAATTGCAACCTATCTGAGAATTGCAACCTAAACCTTAGTATCTGAGAATTGCAACCTAACTCTTAGTATCTGCTCAACACCCCAGCTCCAAACATAAATAAATACACCCTCTAACGTTTACAAAAGGTATCCTGACATCAAAATGTATCTACTTTTCTTCAATATCGGTCTTCTAACTTCAAGAAAACAAAAAACAAACCCACCTCATAGGTCAGTGTAGTTCATATAAAAAATCGTCATATATGTACCTTACATTCAGTACAGGGAGAGCAGGACTTCTAACATCGCGATGTTTGAAATAGGTGTGCATCGCGATGTTTGTTAACTGAAATAGTTGGTCACGCCCATGTTTTCTAAGCTAAGGCCTGCTACAGACCTGATCACAGCAGAAGTACCAGATGGCGCTGATCATGATGCCAAAGACCATCCCAGGCCACGGCAGATCGGTGTTGCTGTAACTGCGAAACATGTTCCAGGATAACGCTTTCGGTATGCCACAGTAGGTGTACCTGGTAGGGATGGGGAACAGAGAGGAACAGAGAGCAATCACGTGTACCTGGTGCGGATGGGAGGAGAGAGCAATCACGTGTACCTGGTGGGAATGGGAGCAGAGAGCAATCACGTATATCTGGTGTGTGCGGGGGGGGGAGAAAAAAAAAAGGGGGGGGGGGGCTTTAAATTGTTCTGTAAAAATTGAAAGATCAATCAAACACCGGTTGACTTACGGGTAAGATGAATCGTCTCCGAAGTGAAGTTTTGTTGTATTTGGCCAAGCCTCGAAGAATTTCTCTCTCATGAAGTCATAAGATTCAAATTGGCCCAAGGCTGGAAATAGAAATCTTTTATATCCTCCTAAAGACGACAGGGGAGATGAGGTACTCATGTAGCTGGGGTCAAGGGTCAGGGATAGTTTGGGGTCACACAGTTGGTCACACGTGCTACACAAGGTGATGTCAGATTGTTGGCGCTTGCTCTGTCAGACGACCGTTTAAAGCCTGGCCATGTTAGAGGCACACCCCCCCCCCGAGCTTCCCGTCAGTTAAAGGGCCAGTTTTTCGACCATGTGTTCATCGGATGTGAGGTAAGCTGTGACATGTTCCAAGTACCAAGTAAGCCACGCCCAGAGTCACGCATTGCGCTTTCTCAGTCAGTTGGCAGTATTCTCTTTGAAATCCCTCATAAGTAGTATGCCATTAAAAATGCACAGGGAAGAATACATAGGGGCTGAACTGGAGGGATCGGGGTGGCGGGGGGGGGGGGTAAAAAAGGGGGGGGGGGGGACTTCTGCCATTCATGTTTCCATTCACGTCATCGCTACTCAAAACAATGTAAATTTTTAAAAATTATTATTTTTATTTTTTAAATTTTTACAAGGAAAGGTTAGTGGCTATTAAAATATATTTTTACTCTCTCTAAGTATTGTACTCCTATAAGCATGAGATTTTTAAAAAAAAGGGGGGGGGGTGGAACTGAAATAACACAGGTGACTACCTGTAGCATTTGAAAATCAGGGACCTTTACTCACGGTAGTAGTAGATAAATCAAGGGAAAATACTCACTGTAGTAGGAGGTAAATCAAGGGAAAATAGTCACTGTAGTAGGAGGTAAATCAAGGGAAAATACTCACTGTAGTAGGAGGTAAACCAAGGGAAAATAGTCACTGTAGTAGGAGGTAAATCAAGGGAAAATACTCACTGTAGTAGGAGGTAAACCAAGGGAAAATAGTCACGGTAGTAGTAGATAAATCAAGGGAAAATACTCACTGTAGTAGGAGGTAAATCAAGGGAAAATAGTCACTGTAGTAGGAGGTAAATCAAGGGAAAATAGTCACTGTAGTAGGAGGTAAATCAAGGGAAAATAGTCACTGTAGTAGGAGGTAAATCAAGGGAAAATACTCACTGTAGTAGGAGGTAAACCAAGGGAAAATAGTCACTGTAGTAGGAGATAAATCAAGGGAAAATACTCACTGTAGTAGGAGGTAAACCAAGGGAAAATAGTCACGGTAGTAGTAGATAAATCAAGGGAAAATACTCACTGTAGTAGGAGGTAAACCAAGGGAAAATAGTCACTGTAGTAGGAGATAAATCAAGGGAAAATACTCACTGTAGTAGGAGGTAAACCAAGGGAAAATACTCACTGTAGTAGGAGATAAATCCAGCTCCTATGAACAAGACGAAGGCCTGGGCCGTGTCAGTGTAGACGACAGCCTGTAGGCCACCTAGTGACAAAAGACGTCAAACATTCAGGAGTTAAAATGTGCTAGACAGGTGAGTCTAAATAGACAGGTGAGTCTAAATAGACAGCTGAGTCTAAACAGACGGGAGAGTCTAAATAGACGGGTGAGTCTAAACAGACGGGAGAGTCTAAATAGACATGTGGTGAGTCTAAATAGATACCACAATTTTCATTTCTGTCTTATTTTTAAAAAAGACAATATTTCTCACATTTTTCCCTTTATAAAAATCGAGTTCCTTGGCTAGAGTCCTAGAAATGTGTGTTGACTGGTCGGAATAGTTTTTGTTTGTTTGAGTCAATAGTTTTTTGGGGGCATCTGTTCGGCTCAAGGTGACAATGGTGTGGTTAGCGCCGGAAGGTGCGAAACAATGGGGGAGGGTTGAGCTAGGCGCCTTTGTGGAGAGCTTATAGCTGGTTCCAAATCAGCAGGACAACCAGTCATTATTTCAGAAATTTTTCCCCGGGGACACTTCAGATTGTTTCGGTTTGGGGGGGGGGGGGGGGGTGGTGTGCCATTTGATTTATTGTTGGATATAATTTGGTAATTTTGCTCCGGGAGGCACTTGGCTTTCCCCGGGGGGGCACTGCCCCCCGGAGATATAGCTGAAAGAAACCCTGAGGACAACCCCCCCTGCAAAAAAAACAAAAAAAACAAAAACAAACCCTTGCGCAGCTGATGAGCCCAAGGGAACTTAAGTGGATGGTACAGCCTGACGTCAGAGGTCTTCAATCTCTGAGATTAGCGACCATCCGAGGTTAACACCTCCGAACTGCCCGGAGAAGTCTGTGTGCAAGGTTAGTGCAGTGAACCAAACGAGATATACAGCCATTTGAGGTTAAGGCAAACTAAACCTTAGTGGATTGATGGTATACCGGTCAGAACATAGTTAACTTTCGTGTGGTTTATATGTGATACATGAATGGTCAGGACCCATATGACTGTGGACCTGTGGGTGGTTTACAACATGGTGAGCAGTACGTGATGGATAGTTGGTCAGTAGGAAATCATGGTCATTACAATAAGACACTGTTGGTATTTGTCAGTAAGTGGTGATCTTAGCGCTAATAGATGGTACACTGTTGGTATTTGTCAGTAAGTGGCGATCTTAGCGCTAATAGATGGTACACTGTTGGTCAGCAGAGATCAGTACATGTTAAACTAATGGTCAAGGCTTAGCCTAATAACCTGTTGTCAATATCTGAGATAAGTCAGTGCTAAGTCTAGTATTTTGTTGTCAATATCTGAGATAAGTCAGTGCTAAGTCTAGTATTTTGTTGTCAATGTCTGAGATAAGTCAGTGCTTAGCCTAGTATTCTGTTGTCAGTATCTGAGTTATGCTGGTGCTCAGCCTAGTATTCTGTTGTCAGTATCTGAGATAAGTCTGTGCTTAGCCTAGTATTCTGTTGTCAGTATCTGAGATAAGTCGGTGCTTAGCCTAGTATTCTGTTGTCAGTACCTGATATAAGTCGGTGCTTAGCCGAGTATTCTGTTGTCAGTACTTGAGATAAGTCGATGCTTAGCCTAGTATTCTATTGTCAATGTCCGAGATAAGTTCATGCCGGTCCGCGGTATGATATATTTCAGTTAGCGCGCAGTCGTGTTCATTTTTAGAGCAGTTCAACTCACCTGAACACGTGACAAATACTGACCACACGAGCGGAGGGATACACACCGTCCGGAAATCCACGCGGCCGAAAATGGCTTCCAACAGTTTGAAAATGGCGTACAGCTCCACCTGTGCACATTGGTGCAGGTAAACGCATTAGTGGCGCATTAATTTATATCGTCTTCAATTTTATAGGTCACATTTTAAAAAGATGGTAGTAGTTAGGCTGGTAAAAGGGAAGAGGGCGAATGGACAGTATACCTCTATATTATATGAGAGCTATCTTGTACGGTGGCAATGACATCGTAACATAATGATATTTGATGGTGATGCATTGCTGAGTTGAAATCACAATGTCTCGTGAGAGTAGGGATACATGTATCTAAGTATAGGTAGTAATGAACTATATTAGCGACCATATTGGAGAGCAAGAAAAAACAGTTAAAAAGCTATTTTTTTTCCGTGGGACACGATGCATGAGTGACTTGTCATGTTATAACCTAAATAGAAATTGATTTATCATGAACTGTATTTAATCAATCGTTGCCATAGTCGTCATGTGTGAATTTGATTATTCTGTGAGGTGTTCGTGCCAATAAAGAATTTAATATTTGATTTGGACTTACTGTTATTACACGGCCAAATGAGAAATTAGTTGCTAACCCCTATCTGAAAAGAACTAAGATATCAGCCCAGGCCATGCTCATTCTGACAAGTTGATACAAATAGATGAAGTTACAATGATATCAGAATAGAAGGGCTACGAAACATCAAACAATAACAAAAACTATTTTTAGATATATGAGATATTTATACTTAAAATTTTGTTTCGCTGCTTCATCAAAAGACGAATGTGTCAACATGCTTGTTTTGAACCTACCGAAGTCTTTGTGAAGACGATCAACACCAGGGAGAGCGTTGCCAGGTAAAGCTCGAGGCGCAGACCACCGAAACGTTTCTTGAGGTAGTCGATGGTTGTCAGGGACTGGATGGAAGAGAAGATGGTTGTTAGGGACTGGATGGGAGAGAAGATGGTTGTCAGGGACTAGATGGGAGAGAAGATGGTTGTTAGGGGACTGGATGGGAGAGAAGATGGTTGTCAGGGACTGGATGGGAGAGAAGATGGTTGTCAAGGACAGGATGGGAGAGAAGATGGTTTTCAGGGACTGGATGGGAGAGAAGATGGTTGTTAGGGACTGGATGGGAGAGAAGATGGTTGTTAGGGACTGGATGGGAGAGAAGATGGTTGTTAGGGACTAGATGGGAGAGAAGATGGTTGTTAGGGACTGGGTGGGAGAGAAGATGGTTGTCAGGGACTGGATGGGAGACAAGATGGTTGTTAGGGACTGGATGGGAGACAAGATGGTTGTTAGGGACTGGATGGGAGAGAAGATGGTTGTTAGGGACTGGATGGGAGAGAAGATGGTTGTTAGGGACTGGATGGGAGATAAGATGGTTGTTAGGGACTGGATGGGAGGTAAGATGGTTGTTAGGGACTGGATGGGAGATAAGATGGTTGTCAGGGACTGGATGGGAGATAAGATGTTTGTCAGGGACTGGATGGGAGATAAGATGGTTGATAAGGGACTGGATGGGAGATAAGATGTTTGTCACGGACTTGATGGGAGATAAGATGGTTGATAAGGGACTGGATGGGAGATAAGATGTTTGTCAGGGACTGGATGGGATATAAGATGGTTGATAAGGGACTGGATGGGAGATAAGATGTTTGTCACGGACTCGATGGGAGATAAGATGGTTGATAAGGGACTGGATGGGAGATAAGATGGTTGTTAGGAACTGGATGGAAGATAAGATGGTTGTGAAGGGACTGGGTTGGAGATAAGATAGTTGTGAAGGGACTGAGTGGAAGATAAGATGGTTGTGAAGGGACTGGATGGGAGATAAGATATTTGTGAAGGGACTGGGTGGAAGATAAGATGGTTGTGAAGGGACTGGGTGGGAGATAAGATCGTTGTTAGGGACTGGATGGGAGATAAGATAATAATAATAATAATAAAGTTCATTTCAAAAACACGCTTCATCCCCAAAGGCTCGAAGCGCGGTACAAAGTCAACAAAAAACATATCTATAATTTACCACATTTAAAACAAACGCAACACTACAAAAACTAATTACAAGCATACAATCTCAAAGTCTTTCTAGCCATTTCAACCCGGAGCAACACAGCCATTATTCATTAACTGGAAAATAAGATGGTTGTGAAGGGACTGGATTGGAGACAATATGGTTTTCAGGCTTTGGATGGGAGAGAAGATGGTCGTCAGGGCCTGGATGGGAGAGAAGATGGTCGTTAGGGCCAGGATGGGGGAGAAGATGGTCGTTAGAGACTTGATGGGAGTGAAAGGATGCTACACACTGATGTTTAAATCATTTGTCTGCCTTGCATTTTTTCTGAAAGGTGGACAGAGGTACCAACCTCTTATATGCTCCGCCTCCCCCGACTGTGTGAAGCTTGATGTACCACAAGGAATTATTTTTGCCGAGATTGATTTAGTCAAATTGTATTTGATACACACGCCAAGCACAGTCTCATACATTTTTATGCAGTCCTAATTTTAGAGCTACGTGAACAAGAAAATGAGAATGCTTCATATGAGCAAGGGTAACTTTGATTAGTGACAAATGTGAAAACCCAGGGAAATAATCGCTACGGTATGAGAAAGTATTTGACATAAAGTCACGACGTGTGATGACTTACCCCAGATGCTATGTACACTGGCAAGAAGATCCAGCCAAGAATTATGAACGCAAACGTAGCCTGAAAAGAGTAGTCACGTCGACAACGTTAGGTCTTTAAGAGTTTGAATAACCATTGATCATAGGAAGAAACCAATATGCAGGCAATATGACAAAACAGATACGGGGGAAAATCTGGGGGGGGGAGAACACAACCAAACAACGAACGTGCCGGCAAGACGCCTTCGTCTGCGCACATCACAAACAGAGAGGAGCAAATATAACAAAAAATAAAATCTTGACTGAAATGTTGTATCCCAGAACAAGAGGAATGTAGTTAAACTAGGAGTAGGTAAGAGAATTAATTAATACAGGCAAAAAGGTTTGGGGGGGGGTGTAAAAATATAAGGAAAGGACGTACACGGTGATTGGTTGTAAAAATTAGGGGGCGAACAAACAAAAAAGTAACAAGTCAAGGAGAGCATGATGTTCATGCCATGTGGTGTCGAGGTCACATAGATGTCCCACATATGTTGGGACGCGTAAATAAATCTGATCATAGATTGTTTCCGCTTAAAAGTAATGTACCCACAGAATCCCATAATCCCTCTGTTCTTGGCGTGGTCGCTTTGCAACTTTGTCTGAGTGGCCCACCGCTGTCCAGTTTGGCTCTACTAACCGTATTTCGCATAAGGCCTTTGCAACAGATGCACACTAGTGTGGTACGTATGAATCGTAAGAAGTGTCGCAATTAGAATTAATTATGACTGTAGTGCCACTCTTGTCTTGTGTGGTGTTCTTAAGTAATCGCTTGACTTTAAGATCATTTTTGTTCTTCCAACTTCTATCTTCTTTCCTTCACCTGGTCGTGAGGATAGGATTTTATTTACTAGCATCGCGATCACTATGCGAAGTATTCTGTTTTTTTTATTCTAGTCTCCGAGTCCTACAATCTATTTCATTCTATAATGATACATCATTTCTTTAAGATCTGCCCTTGAGTTAACGTGGTAAGGCAAGTCCTGACATTCTTATTGCTCCGCCCATATAACACTGTGAATATTTTTTTTAAAATCTTCAGTGTCTAAATTTTTTTTATAGAGCAACATGTTTTATATAATATAATGAAAACAAAGATCTAGCTAAACACTTTCAGTTAATTAATAAGATAATAAAGTAAGGAAATAGTTTGAACGAATTGAAATATGCACAACACGTCACCAACATTGAGCTCGTAGGCGAAATTCGTGATGCCACTGTGACTTGCCAGACCAGCCATCCCCACAAAATGGGCGCTGCCAATATTAGCCATGAACATGGAACAGGCGACCTGGAGGTCAAGAAATTCAAACATTTCTGATTTAAATATTGGCGAACGCTTGTAGCCCTCCTGCCCTGTGAGGTATTGGGAATTAAATGTGGCATATTGGGGGTGAAGGTCATGTGGGCGATTCAACAAAACTGTTATAACTTCTAAAGTTTCCTTTTCATGTGAGAATTCCCCCCCCCCCGAAGTTGGCGCACATCCATTCGCAATGCCCTCCAACCCATTGCCACATTATCTTACAGTTAAACCCATTGCCACATTATCTTACAGTTAAACCCATTGCCACATTATCTTACAGTTAAACCCATTGCCACACTATCTTACAGTTAAACCCATTGCCACATTATCTTACAGTTAAACCCATTGCCACATTATCTTACAGTTAAACCCATTGCCACACTATCTTACAGTTAAACCCATTGCCACATTATCTTACAGTTAAACCCATTGCCACACTATCTTAAAGTTAAACCCATTGCCACATTATCTTACAGTTAAACCCATTGCCACATTATCTCAGGGTTTAACCAATTGCCACATTATCTTACAGTTAAACCCATCGCCACATTATCTTACAGTTAAAACCATTGCCACATTATCTTACAGTTAAACCCATTGCACTATTCATTTGCTGCCCTCTCGAATACTACTTCTCAGCTAAGTGCTATATTTTTAAAATTGTATTCTGTTTTTTTCTGTTTGTTTGCTGACGGAGGCTTCCTGCCGACACGTTCGTTATTTTCTTGCGTTCCTTTTTTCAGGTTTAACCTTACTTTGTTTTATTCGTTTCGTAGTATCTCATAATGCCACCCAACCAATTGTCCCATTATCTCGCAATGCCACCCAACCTATTGCCACATTATCTCACAGTGCCCCCCCCCCGCACCCATTGCTACATCATCTCACAATTCCACCCTCCACCCATTGACACATCATCTCACAATTCCACCCTCCACCCATTGACACATCATCTCACAATTCCACCGTCCACCCATTGCCACATCATCTCATAATTCCACCCTCCACCCATTGGCACATCATCTCACAATTCCACCCTCCACCCATTGACACATCATCTCACAATTCCACCGTCCACCCATTGCCACATCATCTCATAATTCCACCCTCCACCCATTGCCACATCATCTCACAATTCCACCGTCCACCCATTGCCACATCATCTCATAATTCCACCCTCCACCCATTGCCACATCATCTCACAATTCCACCGTCCACCCATTGCCACATCATCTCATAATTCCACCCTCCACGCATTGCCACATCATCTCACAATGCCGCCGCTTTCCCCAATGACTTCTCTATCATCAAAGAACAATCGCACGATTTTAGTAACAGTACGACGTCAATAATAACAAACAAACTAAAATAAATAAATCATATTTTTTACCGGAAGAAATCGTAGATTTCGGTTGGCGAAGAAGAATCCACTGACGCCTTTCTTGGCTGTACAAATTCCCTGTTGGTGCAAGGGTTATATATGTATGTATATATATAAAGTGTTCTGTGTCTTCCCCTCTTCTATATTTTGTGGGCCCCTGATCGATAAGTTGATCATTAAGGCTCCTACACATCTGTGTACTGTGTCTTATAATCATAGTACTTGTCTTAAATATATAATTTTTTGCTAAGTTTTCGAGAATTAAGATATTTATCAAAGACATTTACTTGATGGCGCAAAAATTCAGTGATGATATTAACGGTAGATAAGGTAACAAAAAAAACAACAACAAAAAAAAAAAAAAACTACACTAATATAAACATTCCTTTGCTGCAAACACACAGTAAAGTGTCAGTGTAATACAGAGAATTAATAGTAATTTAAATATATAATTTTTTGCAAAGTTTTCAAAAATTAAAATATTTATCAAAGACATTTACTTGATGGCGCAAAAATTCAGTGATGATATTAACGGTAGATAAGGTAACAAAAAAAACAACAACAAAAAAAAAAAAAAAACTACACTAATATAAACATTCCTTTGCTGCAAACACACAGTAAAGTGTCAGTGTAATACAGAGAATTAATAGTAACAGGCAACAAACAGTAACGTCACGAGGGGCATTCACTAAAGTGACGGTATAGTTGAGTAAACACTGACAGCACTTCAAAGTGAACTGGTTGCTTACGACTGTGCTGGCGATACACTGAAAGCACTTCCAAGTGAACTGGTTGCTTACGACTGTGCTGGCGATACACTGACAGCACTTTAAAGTGAACTGGCTGCTTACCACTATTCTGGCCATACACTGACCACTTACCACGATGCTGGCCACACACTGACCACTTACCACTATGCTGGCGATGACTGTAAAGAACAGCGCAGACCAAAGCCAAGCGTGGTCGGTGTAGCTGAGGACGTTTTTCCCCGAGAGTTTCAGGAAGCTGGACGTGGTGCTCTTCAGACGGGGTGTGATCGGTAAACTGGTCGACATCTCTCTGGTCACTGTTCACTCGGACAACCCTGGTGTGGAAGCGAAGGGAATCATTTATGAAAAATGTCACGAGCAATGGAAGTCACCAAAGGACACCAATACCTAAATAATCTGACACGTAGGTGGTCTCAAGTCGATTTTAAGGTTAATTTATTCAGTCCTCACGTTTTGACTGTTGGCTGAGCGTTCCTGGAGTCTAGAGGAACATGTTTTCAATAGATGAATTGGACAAAAGGAAAGAAATAAAATGACTTCATTAGCACTGAGGGTAGTGATGAGTAGGTCGATTAGATAAATGTTTACCAAGCTTTTAAGAATGTGGGACCCGTGGACACGTTTTGAAATTGCCCGATTTTTTCTATATAGTTTCTTTTTATTTGACCATTAATATTCATGTTGTGCAGACCGGCAATGTGAGGCTCGCGAACCACCATTTGGGATAACTCTGGACTCGATGACTTAGTTAGCAATACGTTAATGTGATGTGTGCCAACAATGTACAATTCTTTTGCTGCCCTTCCGGAAACTATTTCTCAGCTAAGAACTATTTTTTTTAAAAAATGCTTATTCTGTTTTTTCTGTTGTTTGTTCGCTGACGAAGGGACACGTGCGTTGTTTTGTTTAGTTCCTTTTTTTTCAGGTTTGACCATACTTTGTCTTACTCAGTTCCTATTATTTTAGAGAGCTGTACATGCCTATGCACTGCCTTGATATAACCACGTACAATAACTGTGGACACGTCTAGTTCTAGTTTAGGATAATTCATTTTCAGATCTCCGGGGTCGTAATCATAATACTAATACAATCTGGAGAAGCGCTAGCAAAATGTTTTTATACGTTATAAACCACCAAAAATATATGATCAGATATTTGCCACCTTTCGTTGCTCAGCTGCGGTACTGTATCTGATAAATAGATGCTTTAAAAAATACGAAAAGAAGTTGCGTTATTATTTCGGTTCTCTATTTTTCTCTTCTAAGAGCATTTTCATTGAGAGAATTGGGCGTCAATAATTCTTGTCTATGTACTTCCGGTTGTTGTGGTAACACTTCCGCTTGACATTGCGCCTCAAAATTTTTTAAACCGAGTAGCTTGCCCGTGGTTTCCGCCTACTTTTACCAAGTTGGGTCGGTTCCAAAATCATGTTTGTTGTTTTTAAACTCGATTGCATTCAGTTGAGTAGGGTTAATTAAAACATGGGCCAATAAAGTTGATACTTTTTGCTCTGAATAATTTATTTCCTCTAAATTCAAGGTGACGTCATAAGATCCACGTTTACTTAGCCAAACCATGACCACCACAAATGATATGAAAGTGGAAATAATATTCACCAACCCATTATGCTGTTTTCTCCCCGAAAATATGTTTTTTCCCGCTTCGTGAACGCACAAGACATTACTCCAAAGAGTTGCGCGTAATAGTTTAACTTTGACGATACCCAACTGTACTTGTCATCTTCGAATGGGATTCCGAGCATGACAATGAAAAGGCCACGGCTCAGACTCATAAGACTATTGAGAAGGTACTTTAATGACACCTTCTATCTATATTCCATAAGTCGCATAGCCTACAAACACTCGTCATTATAAATATGAATATGCTTCTATATGCCTGTACGCACGCAGAGGGAAAACGCCAATCTTGCGACAACCATCGTGGCACACCACTGCTCGCGACTGCAGGTAAGATACTTGCTAGAATCTTACTAAACCGCCTTAATACGCATCTTGAGAGGGGTCTCCTGCTAGAAAGTCATTGCCGTTACCGTAAAGAACGCGGAAATATTGATATGGTGTTTGCGGCCAGACACCTACAGGCAAAATTCAAGGAACAGAATGGCGACCTCTTCTCAACCTTTGTAGACCTGACCAAGGCTTTCGAAACTATTAGTAGAAAAGGTCGCCGGAAGATCATGGCCAAATATAGATGCCCCAGAAAGTTTATTTCAGTGGTACGGCAATTCCATGATGATATGCAGGCTAGGGTCAGGAGACATGATGGTATGGTCAGGGGACATGATGGTATGGTCAGGGGACATGATGGTATGGTCAGGGGACATGATGGTATGGTCAGGAGACATGATGGCATGGTCAGGGGACATGATGGTATGGTCAGGGGACATGATGGCATGGTCAGGGGACATGATGGTATGGTCAGGGGACATGATGGTATGGTCAGGGGACATGATGGTATGGTCAGGGGACATGATGGTATGGTCAGGGGACATGATGGTATGGTCAGGAGACATGATGGTATGGTCAGGGGACATGATGGTATGAAGGCTAGAATCAGGGGACATGATGGTGAACGCTCCTTCTACTTCCATGGGCCCACGTTCTGGAACCAGCTCCCCTTCCATATCCGTCATTGTGAAACCTCGTCCACTTTTAAAAAGTCCCTAAAAAAAAACCCATCTGTTTAGGTCCGCCTATGACCTGTGACGCACCCTCCTTGCCCTGCCTCATTTTCTGTCTCGGGTTAATCCTGTAATATAGGCCAAAACGTGCCAAAGTGTCTTCGTTTTATAGCCATTTTCATTGTTTCTATAGTATAGTAGTTACTATCCTAATGTCTCATTTTTATTTTAGTTAGTTTACATGTTTTTAATAATTGTAAAGCGCTTAGAGCTTTAAGGTAAGCGCTATATAAAAATGCCTAAATAAATAAATATATAAATATTTAGGCTAGGGTCAGGGGACATGATGGTATGAAGGTTAGGGTCAGGGGACATGATGGTATGAAGGCTAGAATCAGGGGACATGATGGTATGAAGGTTAGGGGACATGATGGTATGCAGGCTAGGGTTAAGAGACATGATGGTATGAAGGCTGGGGTTTGGGAAAATGGGGAGATGTCTAAACTATTCCCTGTGACAAATAACTTTGCGTTTCGTCTTCAAAACTTTTCAGCTTCATGTTTTCCTCCATGCTCTCAGGTGATTTCAGAGAGACGATGGAATTGGTCTCAGATACCGAACCGATGTTAAACTATTCAACCACAAGATATGCATGCCGATATACAAGGTCCTGACAGACATCAGGTCCTTCCTGTATGCCGAAGATTGTGCCATAAACGCTGGAACAGGCGCTACCGGTATATCTAACGCAGTATTACTTATTTCACCAATGTCTACAAAATTTGAGATCTCATATAAAAAAAATTTTGAACACAGTAAATAGAAGTCTGGTTTATCGGAGATGTAAATATATCTTGTTTTTTTTTTTTTTAATAAACATTTGATATATATAAAAAAATGCATATCAAGAGAGATAGGAATCCTTTGGATGAAAAGTACTTTTCTGCTCAGTCAGTGGATGACAAATTTGCTCACACGAAACTGTCCCATTAACTTCTAAATGCCATTCAAATTGAACACCGGCTGGTTATTTACAGAAGTCAAGAAAAAAAAAAAAAAAAAGAGACCTTTCATTTACACTGAAATTCACACATTTCTTTTTTGATTGACAAAACGGAGATTTAATCATTAACCTTTACTGCATCACTCAGAACAACTTAATCAGACATACATACAGGTCAGACATTACTATAAGTATTTATAAATTTAACATTGTCATATTTTACAGCCCTCCCCTTTAAACTCCGTCATTTTTCCCCCCCCCCCCCGTTCAAGATATGTTCTCTGCACATCATAATTTAAAAAACAAACAATTTAGTACCAAGATCTAAGCCAGGAGATAATTCATAGTGTTAAGAGAAATGAAAAGGACTCAAAATTCTTAGTAAAATGAACAGAACAATGTTAAATTTGAACAAAAACTTTGGGCTCATGTCAAATCAAGACAGATTCTGATTTTCTGAGTTTTCAATACACTTTAGAAAGCACCAAGTAAAATTTTGGTTTATCAAAAACTAAGAGTAAGTTTGCTTCCTCATTTTCTATATTCACAATTAAGATTGCATCCCTGAAACTCCAACATCAACAAATGACCAGTGTCCAGGACTTCATAATTATTTTTTTTACAAATGCTAGGTGACTATGTTGTCTGGTGATCAGAGATTACCAACCCTAATTGTCTCAGGAGCCTTTATTAGAATCACTTTCTATGGAGGAGCCCCTTATTTTTTACAAATTTATGGCCTTTAGGAGTAGTGTTATGCAGGGAGGGAATGGCAGCGGAGCCCCAGAGAAGTGCCCATAGATCCCTTAGGGCACAGCTGAGCACAGGTTGGGAACCACTTCTGTTGATACATTAAAAAGTAACATCCTCAGAAGAAATAACTTATTTAATTATCATCCCAGCAAAGTTGGGGAAATGTTTACAGAAAAACAAACATGGGATATGGTTGAAAAACTCTACTGTAAATCAGTAAATTTAAACATTAAACAATTTTGTCATTTTGTATAAGCTCTAGTCTATCCTTGATCCAAATAGCACCATTCCTCACAAGGGATGAAGTGATGAGCAGCGTGACATTTTACAGATGACAATGTGACATATTCAAAGAATGACATGATCTGATAAAAAATTAACACAAGTTATAGTAACACTTTGACGTCACAACTCTTCATCCTTCTTGCCCTCCTCCTTCTCGTCTGCAATATCTTCATTTTCTCCCGCCTCCTGTTCCGATTTCTGTGTTTTCTCTTTCTCCTTGGTCACGGCAAAGCTCAGAGATTCTTTGTCAAACTTGAGCAGCATCAGACCCAGCTCACCATCAAAACGGTTCTTGGTCACCTGCAAACAGTCAAATTTAGTGTGAGCCTCAGAGAAACGTTTTGTAACTAACCGCATTTTTTTATTTTTTTAATTTCCTAAACTGTGGCGGCTTAGATTGTGTTTTAAAGCCATGTGGTACTGAGATTGTGTTTTAAAGCCATAGGGTACTGAGATTGTGTTTTAAAGCCATGTGGTACTGAGGTTGTGTTTTAAAGCCATAGGGTACTGAGATTGTGTTTTAAAGCCATGTGGTACTGAGATTGTGTTTTAAAGCCATAGGGTACTGAGATTGTGTTTTAAAGCAATGTGGTACTGAGGTTGTGTTTTAAAGCCGTGGGCTACTCAGATTGTGTTTTAAAACCATGTGGTACTGAAAATAAAAGCTGATTTTTTTTTTTTCCATGGAGAAGATTTTTTTCTTTTAACTTGAGTACAACTACAAATTCCAGAGTTTTATTTTGTTACCGGAACCTAAGTCAGACTTTTCAGGGAGAATTAGGCATAGATCATTAGATTCTAAACTAATAAATAAGGTAAGGCTAGAGAATGACATCAATCAGTTTACATTTTTGTCTATAAATTATTTGCATTATTTTTGTGTACATTAATAGGATTATTTTTTCATGTTCATGTTTCACTAGCATTCGTTTTTAGTACATAACAATCACTATACTTTTCAGTAGAAGCATTAATTCTTGGTGTGCATAAATTACAGTTTGTAAAAAATTTGTTTACTTTAGCACAAGTGCAGGTGTAGCAAAACTTTTTAGTGAACTAATCTATTACAAGATTGACATGAGATGACATTCACCTGCAGGTACTTCTTTCCTCTCACCGATGTGAGTCGCTTGTCTTGCAGTATTAGGACATTGTCAGCTTCCTGTGTAGCTTTGGCCGTTCCAAACACAGAGGCTGTTGTCAGGTCTTCACTCTCTTTTTCCTAGTCAGAAATAACATTGGTGTCTTTGTAAACAACATTGGTGTCTTTGTCAACAACATTGGTGTGCTTGTGAACAACATTGGTGTGCTTGTAAATAACATTGGTGTGCTTGTAAATAACATTGGTGTGCTTGTAAATAACATTGGTGTTTTTGTGAACAAAATTGGTGTGTTTGTAAACATCATTGGTGTGTTTGTAAACAACATATGGTACATTTTTAAACAGCACCACAGCCACTGCAATGAAAGTGAAAGCCTAGAGGTGTGAAGTTTCGGTGACTCCAAAAATGAGGGGAGGAAACAGTGTCACGGTCCCAATAAATGACAAGATATTCAACAGTAAAATTTTAAAATAAATCAAAATAAAATAATTTGATGCTAACAGCAACAACAAAAATGACACCAGCTGTATTGTCCTATATAGAGAATGAATGACTCGGATAACAGTAGTTGAATGTCTTATGTACAGAATGAATGACTAATATAACAGTAGTTGAATGTCTTATGTAGAGACTTATGTTTTTTGTGTATGATGATGTAGTAAATAAATGATTTATATGGTGAATGCATGATTTATGTGGAACATAAATGAATTGTGTAGTGATTAACTGATTATATGTTGTGACTTCTGCAGGAAACCAAAAGTTATTTGAATTACCTTCCGTGGATGTATGACCAATGTCACGTGGCAGTTCATATTTGTTGCAAACTTTCTGAAAGCTGAAATCATAGAGTCCTGCTTCATGAAGCGGTCAGACCACTCGGAGCCACTGATCCCCATCATAAACTGCAGGTTGTCCAGTATGACATGACCGATGTCATGGACATAGACAGCATGGGACATGGCCTGAAACAATGTTACATGGACATATACAGCACACAGCACTGACATGGCCTTAAAACAAAGTTACATGGACATAGACTGCATGGGACATGGCCTGAAACATTGTTACATGGACATATTCAGCATGGGACATATTCTGAAACAATTTTACATCGACATGGAAAGCATAGGACATGGCTTGAAATAACTATATTTGTACTATGTAGAAAAAAATAAAAGAATATTCTTGCACGAACCAAACGTTTACCAAAATCAACAACTTAAGTATAGATCGACACTAGAAAAACAAAGTATACCAATTTCTCTTATCAAAGTATACTTACATTTAAAACCAAAGTAACCTCACATTTACAAAGTAAACTCACATCTATAAAAAAAGGGATACTTACATTCACAAAAGGATACTCACATCTCTCACCAAAGTATACTTAATCTATAACCAAAGTATACTTACATTTACAAAGTACACTCACATCTATGAACAAAGTATACTCACATCTATAACCCTTTTCAAATTTTCCTGTCCATGAAACGTCATAAAGTACATGGGCAGGGTCTGGAACTGGTCAGCGTAGTGGTCAAACAAGTCCAGGTGTTTGGACAGATTCTTACTGAGGACAAAAATGCAGACATGTAAAACACTTCAACCCATGTTAGGTACTGAGCACACTTCTTGTAAGCAAATAACCCGTGTTAGGTACTGAGCACACTTCTTGTAAGCAAACAACCCGTGTTAGGTACTGAGCACACTTCTTGTAAGCAAACAACCCGTGTTAGGTACTGAGCACACTTCTTGTAAACAAACAACCCGTGTTAAGTACTGTTACGCACTGGCTTCTAATATGAGAAATTAATCTCCTATTTTAATTTTAATTGGCTCGTTGTAAACAGTGCCTAACAAAGGACGATACCATATAGTCAACAATATTAAAGATACGACACCCAAAACAGTTTCTAGTTACAATTAATAAGATTTAATAAGTATTAATGTAATTACAAAAGAAAAGAAATATCATTATAAATCATCACTTACAGTATGGTAGATCTTGTACCGGTACACAATTAACACAGAATGATATGCCAATGAATAATGATGAAATGCGAAATAAACACATGTAAGTACGAGCACACAAATACACAAAGAATAATACACGCCTTGTAAAGTTAATAATATCTATCTGAATCCCCGTCCCTCCCTGTCAATCCCTTATATAGGTCGCGTAAGCCCAGCCTTCCAGAAAAGACTTATGACGTGTTGTTTACATTTCTCGGGTTATCGAGCACATTCGAGAAAATACCAGGAGAGAGTCTAACATGCTTAATTGGTAAACACGGTTGTAAACAAGATACATCAAACGAATAGGCCACAACAGACGTTACTGTCTGCTAGGATTCTAATCTAGGTCAAGTAAAGCTCACGCACATAAAAAGTGTGCTACATAACAGTACTAAGCACACTTCTTGTAAGCAAACAAAACAAAAAAACAACCACACACTGGGCTTGTCACAAAACCAATCTTAGAATTTTTTCTACTTCAAAAATTGTGAGTTTGGCTTCACTACTGGGGGATTTCTTTAAACTGCGAAAAATGTGAGTTGCCTGATTTTTTAAACTTTTCAAATAGGAGATTTATCTGAATTTTTTTTTAAAAAGCTGGCCGATTGAAACTTCTGTCAACTGATCTCAAACACTCACAGGGCAAACTGGGTCAGCATCATCTTGCCGAGTCTCACATTGTTGATCTCAAAGCTGCCCCACAGTGTGTTCACCTGTTAAAGGTAACAAAGACATTAAGACCAACCATCATATATTGAGCAGACCTGTTTACCATCAAACTCTTAAAATCATACAACGTCCTCACAAAATCATTCAATACATTATCTTAATAGTAAAAAATAAACATACAGTATATATAATGTATACATCTCAAAATCGTACATTCTACGCTAAAATCGTAAGAGTAAACAGGTCTGATTGAGGGACACGCCCCTTCTTTTAGCATCAATGAAAAGGAAATCTAAGGCAGCTGTTATTTAATTGGGTTCTAGAAAGCTGTCTGTGAGGGTTTTAGAAAAAAAATTAAGTCATATGATTAACCCTATTGACGAGTTTTCTAGGGCCGGATTTAGAAATACCAAGGCTGTCGCCATCTTGTTGAAATTGGGTCCCTATCCTTTGTCTTCGATAAGATAATAAGGAATTTTCCAATATATTGTTTTTGATATCAATTTAGATTTTTTAAAGTTAAACCAGCGCTAATTTTTATATTGGTTAAAAATCTCCAGGCTTTGTTTTTGTAAGGAAAAGATATAAAATTTACATTACTGTTTCTGAGATTCCAACTTGAGCCGGATTTAAGGACTTAACAATTGTAATATTAATATGACTCAGGCATGTCATTGGATTTGGAATTTCTGATTCTAAAAATAAGGAAACAGGGGAGTTTTCTTCTTGATATAAAGTTGCTGGTTATTTCTCCATGACATACGGCTGAACTTGATATAAACAAAATCATAAAATGGTTAAGCTTTGATTGGGTACCAACAAATACTTTTTACGTTTGATATCTGATTTATGAGCCTTTTTTATTGGGTTTTATTTTTTATTGACAAATTGGGTTATTTACTATAGTAATACTATTATAACTGTAAACAGGCAATCAGGTGTACACAATAGACCTTTATTGAATTTCTGATTCTAAAAATAAAAAATGAAAACTGGTGATTAGAATGTAGCTAGCTTGCCCAATTAATTTTTTAAGTCAAGGGGATCCCAGAGACAAACCATTTACGTTTAAAAAAAAACTTAATTTCATTTGTTAAGGAACTTCTGCCAATGTGATAACAAGCAATAATTTAATTATTGTAGATTTATCATCTTCTGAACTTATTTCAGGTCAACTGATGATTTTTAGAATTCTGTTCCATTCCTTTATCCCCATTTTTTAAAAATGTTTTTTTGCTTTTCATAATTTTGCCACTATGGACGGTTGTATGGATCAGGGGAGAATAACTTTGAAGACAAAGTGACCTACTCCTTGCATGCACAAGTCAAGTGAATAATCACTGATGAAAGTTGTCTTTCCTGATCCGGTTGGGCCTGTGAACACAGTTAGCTCCCCTCTCCTGTGTCCTTTCAAAAGTTTATTCAGCACAGGGTATCTTTTCCACTGAAAAAATATTTACATATAAATAACAGTGAGATGGCATGGCAATGGACCACAAATATAAAACATAATCAAATATTTGGGAACACTTTTCAGATGCTAAAATGATTGATGGCAGACCCACATTATAAACAAAGAAAAGACGGGTGAAAAAAAAAATTCGTTTGATTGAAATTATTTGTGAGAAATTTTTTAAAATAAATTAAGGTTGTAAAATGATGCTATACAAATCTGAATAAAGATTTTTTTTAAAAAATGTACAACATAAATTGGGTAATTTAACACACGCTTCCCGTTTCATAAAATACAACTTGCTGAACTCTCAAAAGTAACTAACAAACATATAAATAGCATGTCAATATGTCTTTACAGTGAGGAACCTTCTTGGAAAGTTGACTATTGGAATGAACAATAGCCATTTTAAAAAAGGATAATTTGTAGAAAAGGAACTTCTACAACTTAATGTGACTTCTACAGCTTTAAATAGGTTTGCAAATCCTTATAACAAATGGAAATACTAAAGTTCAAATGAAAACAATTTAGCCTCATTATCTTTCACAATTTAGGCCTCAGATCAAATGTGTTTCAACTGATGCAACTTAACATTTACACCACGCAGTCCAGGGCAACACAGCAGAAGTATTGTATGACCTTTGTCTCAGAAGAAGTGGGGTAAGCTTTAAAGTATTACCTTGACCCCTGCCACCTGTTCACAGTGCATGAGTTGGGACAGCACCTCCTGTCGAAGTTGTGAGAAATTCACGATGGAATCATGGGAAATGGGCCGAGCCTTGTTGAGAATTGTGGAGAGTTTGAGACCTTGGCTCAATGCCGTGACTGGACCGGGATCTTCCATGCTTGGCCTAAGGTAAAGATAAACACCAGGTTGTTTCTGTCCATGAGTATAAGTGAAGTAAACATGAAAACAAAATGTCAAGACAGTCAAGAAATGTTTTGGTGCATAAAAGAAAAGTAGACAACCTCTAGAGGGTTTGCAGAGAGGAGAAAATAGATTTGAATAAAAAGTCACACATCTACCTAAGCTGTACCTGATGATGTGACATCTTTTGCTGTTAAGTTTTTTGGAGAAAAGTTTTGCCATCTCCCAAGCCCGGATGTCATCACCAAACCAAAGGACAATCGACTTAAACCTTTCTAGGCTTGGCAGGGCCTGTTGTTCAGGGAGTAAAAATAATGCATTATAGAACATTACTTGAAATTTTTTTTGGATTTTATTTAAACTATTCAAAACATTAACTTTTAACATGTACACACCCTTGTTTGTAATTGTAATCAATAGTTTTGTTTGCCTTTGATGGAAACCAAATGTGAGGGATTTAGCGTCATAAATAATTAAATAATTTACATATTTAACATCTCCAATTATAATACAGCTCATACCGTTAATGAACATAACCTCTTCTGTCAGATTTGTTAAATATGCATGTGCGATTTTTTAAAAATAATTTAAAAATTTTTAAAAATTTAAAAAAACAACACTTGTAAAAAATGTGTGTTGGATACTTTAGTTTTCTTACATCCAAATGCTCAGCATGAACCACCTTGTTGTCGCAGAGTTTCATGATAATCAGCCCGGCCAGGGAGGGGGGGGGGGCATTTCAGGATTAAATCCCAATGTCAGAACACCATTTACGAGCTTGTTTTTCTTACTATTCCCAACTTACACAGACACCAATCATGCCCCCCCCCCCCAAACAACCCCCTCACCTCTTGTGGCAAAGAACTGAAACCCTTGGGTAAAGATATGGCAGCTTTCTTGGTCTCCTGGAAGACAGTCATGGCGTCCGTCTCGCTGCTTGTGAGGACAACATCTGTGGCACCAGTCGGTATTGTGTCCAGCCCAAACAGAGTTGTCGGTCCTGACCTGGAGGGGATATATCACTGTCACATGCATATATCTTCATTCCCCTTATTGCATACAGTTTAAACTGCCTCATAACATAATCAGGGTTCTTTGTGTGTAGTAGTTATTACTAAATAATTGTCTTGAATGGGATATTAATCTTACTATTCTCTGCGTGCAAGGTCAACTGTTGGTTTTTTGGCTAATGAATTGTACCATGCTTTGGTGCAGTAGGTATGTGATGGGTGAAATACCTGGGTGTGTAGGTCTCTCTAACGTTAGGTGCTGTATCATCCTCTAGTGGGTGACATGTCAGTCTTTTCACACCAGTCAGCGTGTTGTTGACAAAGGCAGGGAAGACAACCATGGGCTGTTTGGGATCACACCTCACATTAAATTTGTCTAATACGCTGATTTTAAGATTCTGAAATGCAAAATTTGAAATAGCTTTATTTGGCCAAACTGGCAAAAACTACATCCAAGGATCCAAGTTCATACACACCCACATATATACCAAGTTCATACACACCCAAATATATATTAAACATAAAATTGAAAACTACTACATGAAGTGCCTCTACAACAATGCTGGTCTACTAGCATCTTGAAAAATAGTTTTTCTTTCAGAGTTTGAAACTGCAATTAACCTCTAGCCCAAAAGTTTCCATAATTTTGAGGGCTGACTCTTCTGGAAGGTCTCCAAATGGCTGGCAACTGGTCCAGATTTCTTTGGCGTGTTGATTTTCTATGATATATGGTTGGACGGTGTCGAGATCTTTAAAGCAGTCGAAATTGGACCTGCAAAAATAATATTTTAGTTATTAAAACTATTTGGGGAAAGAATTAATAAGTATTCCAATAAAGAGTATTTCATTTTTTAATGCTACATCAACCATAGTTTTATCAGTGATATTTAATTAAATAAAAACAAACAACATAGCTCGTGAAATGAAAATAAATATTTACAACATATGACCTACTTTCTTTTCTGTGACTTGAGTAGCTGCAGATTGTCTTGGAGATCTGCCCACATGCCTTGTTTGTTGCAATGCTCACAAACAAAATGACCTAAAAAATACCAAATGACACTGTGTTGAAGATTTTCTCTGGCGAGAGACTTAATTATTTAGCTAATCATGATAAACAAATAGTAATTAAAAAATATATTTGTGACTATTAAAATCTCAATAATTTTAAAATTATTAAAGATTATAGACATGTTCCAATGATAGAATGATAAGATTGAAATCTTGATGCTGTTAAATGCTATATAATCCAGCTATTGAAGAGCTTTTCAATTCTTAATGCATGTGAAACATGGTCTCATTCTGCATCTACATCGTCTCAACTGCTGGTCACATAAATCAAACTATTATTATTCTGTAATAAAGCTCTCTTTGTCCTATAATGCTATATTAGACTTCAGAGCAGTAATGGAACAAAAAATAGGTATAGCATTTAGTAATTCTAATCAATGAAGCAAATAATAGGTACAGCAATGGTAATTCTTATCAAAGCCTTGTAAATTTTTGCCTAGCTGAATTTAGGTGCTAGCTGGAGGAATGGCTTAAAGTTCTATGAAGCGTATGTGATTAAAGAGGAGTGCTGTGTCAAACAACAGAAAGCTGATCTCTTCTTCAACAATTGTATGCATTAAAGATCCAAATTTATCACATGAATGAACATATAAAACTATGATAATTCTAATTTATTGTGTGAAAAAGTAAAAAAAATGAACCATGATGTAAAGCTCATACAGTTTTAAAAAAAACACAAAAAATTACTTTTCTCTTTTCACAGCACAAACTGAACTTAGACAATGTTCATACCTGAAGTTGTATTGATGTAGATATTTTCAGATTTAGCACTTTGATTTGTTTTGATAATCTTAGGACACTGGGTAATAATCGTGGTGTTGCCATGTTCAAGCTTCATCTTCAAGTCAACAAGGACCTGGAACAAAATGGAGTCGGGCAATGTGATTGAGGTAAAAGATGCACATTTTTTTTCTATTAATAATCAAGAATATTGCAATTCTATGACAGCAGTCTTTCTCAACCATTTCTCTACACATACAAATATTTTTTACAGGCATGAAGTCTCCCACCCCCTACACAAGTAACAAGGCAGAATAAAATTTTGAAAATAATGGACTTCTAATTTATTTTTTCATTAAATTCTAAAGAGAACTGTAGAAATAAATGTGCGACTCATTACATTAAGGAAAATGTTAATGTAGAAATGTTTAAAAATATATAAACCTATTATAACTTAAAGGTCACTGTTTCCTCTGTTCTTATAATCCATTTAATTAACACCCCATAAATGGCCACCTCACATCCCCCGGGGGAAACACTGTGATACAGAAACTTTTGTTAGTTCCAGGTTCATTAAATTTAAGATTACTTGAATTGGCATATTTAAATACAGAAGGATTTTATAGCACATCAAGTGTCATGGTAACTAAATATGTTTTTTTCATTGAAGCATATAAAATATAATAGACATACATATTATTCAGGTTGCATTTTGGGTTTTAATTTTTACCTGTTGAATAAGGCCAGCAGATACCACAACATTTCCACCAATTTCTGCTTCCTTAGTGAAACAGCGTCGCCACAACTTAGACCCCAACTTCTGGCGCAAATAGCAGTTTATAAGATAACTATGCAAAATTTGCATTATATATTGCGTTTCCTTTGTTCAAACATCAATTGATGATGATATTGTCTCTTATATTAAGATATAGAGATATTTCGATTTGTAGGGTCTAACTATTTTTATTTTTAAAATGCCATAAAAGCGAAAGGAACTTTATATCTGAAAATCAACACATTGTACAATGAGTACGACTGCTACATTCTGCACTGTTAAAATTTTTATGAAAATATTAGTTTGGAAAGCTTAAGGTATAAGTAAAGAGTTAAAGAGTAATATTATGCATTATGCCTACAGAGAAATATTTTTGTCATGGATTTCATCTAGACATTTGGCAATTTAAAAAAAGAAATATTAGCCAAACGTTACATGGAGCATTTATTTACACAGCTGTTACAACAATTTTATTGTTCACCAAAGCCAGTGGTCAGCAAACTCATTAGTCAAAAGAGTAAAAAATCAACAGCAGGACGACTAAGAGAGCCATATTTCTTTTCAAGAACCTGTCAAGAACCATGTTTTTTTAAAGTCAAAACCGATTTGTGGCCTACTGGCCAAGCTGCACTCAGGTAGTTGAAGAGCTGCATGCGGCTTGCGAGCCCCGATTTGCCGACCACTGTTCTAAGCCTTAGGGGCCTTTCCTAAATAAATAATAAACATCAATATTTTAAAATGATTTTTTTACCCCTCCCCCAATCACAAATTTGTGCCCCCTTCCCCCTAGATGTGTAATGTCCTTTATGAATGGTCTCATATTTGCTGGCCCAACAATTTGGAACACCCTTCCTGTTGCTCTCAGAAACAGCCAGACACCGGAGTCTTTCAAAACTGATTTGAAGACTTATCTATTTCGTAAACACCTGCTGGGGTGATGTTGTCTTTCTAGCTATTATCTTGTAGATGTGTATTTGCCTGTGTTGTTTATGGTTGCAAGGTATGAACGACTTAGAATGGGAATTCTCATATGTAGTTTTTGTAATGTTGCATTTCGTTCTTCAATGTGGTGTGTACCGCGCTGAAGCGTGATTTTTAAATATCTTTATTATTATCATAGATGAAAAATAGTTCCTCCTCGTTGCTAGTAGGTCATGCCTTATTAAATACTTAAACATCTTATCGAGTTAAGTAAAAACACATAAAATTAAAATACTATGATTCTTATCTATTCTTAACTTCTCCAAATCATCAGCTTACAACCGACAAAATTTAAAAAAATGGTTAAAATGATTTATTCTGCTTTTATTTTAATAAGCCTATCTTTATTATTATTTTATTCTCAACTTAAAATAAATTGAAATTGGTGATTTTACTGAAAGTAAAACTGCAATTGAATTACTATTACTCAATCTTATCAATACTGATGACAATAAGTATAGTCGTAGTAGGCCTGTGCCTGTAGTAGTCTATAATGTCTATTGTCATTAATTCTATGAGTGAGTTATTCAGTCTAGTCTAAGTTCTAAGTGTATAGGCTATAGTCAGTACTAAACTGACATACAGAGAAGCCCAGCTTGTATTACTCACTTATTTATTACTAGACATTATTTTATTATTATACTACTACTACTACTAAGACTAAGCTAAGTTATTAGTAATATTAATGAATATTAAATTATAGACTTATTATTATTTATTTAATATGTTTTTGAAATAAATAATAGGTAAATGTACCAGGGATAAAAACTTGTCTGTTTCAATTATATTGATCTTAAGATAAACCCGGTACCGATAAACCCACATATCGGAAACAATTATAAATAATTCTAGAGGTTTTCTGAATGATACAAATACATGCTGGATGTTAGTTATTGAATGAACTTTTCGCTCGCTTCCAAATGAAAATAGTTGATAAGAGTGCTTTCCCTTACTTCATAAAATTTTTTCGAAGTTTTATTTTAATTATATTATTTATTAGTCAATGAATAGGATAAACTAACCTGAAGGCTAATAGGCCTCTAAGTAAGACAATTAAAATTCACAAGCCATTATTATTGCAATAATTAGCAAGAAAAATGGACAAATAATGTTATCTTAAAATATATTTTAATATATTGCAATTGTATTATTAACAAAAAAACATAAAGTAATGAGATATTTATAATTTACATGAAAGGCTGATTTAAATTTAAGGACATATCTTCCGTGTGTTCATTGTAGTTGTGCGGGTGTGTGATTATGTCTGCACTGGGGGACCTAATCAGAGCCGGGGCTAGGAGGGTGCGGGGCCTTTCGTAAATTGAATTTTGCGGGGCCGTTGACGGTATATACTATATATTCCGCCGATAGGATATTCAGACACGTTATAATCGTACTGAAATGGGGCCTTGCTGGTCATAATTGGGACGCGTCATAACGGACATATGTTCACACACTTAGTTTCCGAAATTTCTATTTTTTCCCTATATATAAAAGTTAATTGCCCTGACCCAAATTTCCCATCGCGGCTCCATTTTTTAACAATATCAAGGTTGTCAAAAGCAAATACCGAAAACACGAAGCTGGATGAGCCATTGTAATCTGGACACAAGCAAAACACAAGCCAAAAACTCCGAATATTGTGTTGACTGGATTAGGAACTATTTATTAGTAGGCTTAGGTTTATTATAAATATATTACGGCAACGCGCGGGGAACCCGCAAACCGCCCACTTCACCATCCCCCTAGTGACGGCCCTGACAGAATTTTCGAGGCGTCCCGTGATAATGGGCCCTATTGTAAACAGATTTATTGTAACGTAGAAGTGGCCCTAAAATCACCGGTCCTAGAGGCCCACCGGGATTTTTCCCGGTGTTCCGGCGGCCAAGTCCACCCCTGCGTAAAAGATGAAAAATAGATCCTGATATCGTCGGGACAGTGTCTGACGTCTGATGGCTGTCATCTGATGCCATGTCGTGTGTCACAGTGTCTGACGTCTGTCATGTGATGCCGTGTCGTGTGTCACAGTGTCTGATGTCTGATGTCTGCCATCTGATGCCATGTCGTGTGTCACAGTGTATGACGTCTGATGTCTGTCATATGATGCCATGTCGTGTGTCACAGTGTCTGACGTCTGATGTCTGTCATCTGATGCCGTGTCGTGTGTCACAGTGTCTGACGTCTGATGTCTGTCATCTGATGCCGTGTCGTGTGTCACAGTGTCTGACGTCTGATGTCTGTCATCTGATGCCGTGTCGTGTGTCACAGTGTCTGATGTCTGATGTCTGTCATCTGATGCCGTGCCGTGTGTCAGTGTCTGACGTCTGATGTCTGTCATCTGATGCCGTGTCGTGTGTCACAGTGTCTGACGTCTGATGTCTGTCATCTGATGCCATGTCGTGTGTCACAGTGTCTCAGTTGTCTGTGCCATTGTGTTGTGTGCTGTATTTAAGAGAGAATGAACACACAATAAAGGATCATGGCATTATTGAATGAAGTCATAGAGTCATGATCAGAATGCAGTGAAAAGTCTTTATGATATTCACATTTTTTCTTGGGTCTTGTGCCGCATGGATCCCCTTATGTTTAGGTATATTTTCGTTTAAGGGGGGTGGGGGAAGCGGTTGCCGGGCTTCGACACTACTGAAATATTAGATTCAAATATTTACTAGTCATCGTGGACTCACTTCAGACAACTGAACCCACAAGCCACAAGACCAAGAATCACGCCATGTTTGAAGGTGATAGTTTAAAAAAAAAAATTACAAATATTAATTAAAACTCTAATGACGTCACTAGAGGATCATGCCGACGACACGTGACCTTCCGTATTGTATGTGGGCCAATCTTTCAATTGTGGTGTTAATCTTTAAAAAAAAAAAAAATTAAAAAAGCAAAATTTGTAGTTCACCTTTCAAAAAAAAAAAATAAATAAATAAAACTAATATGGTTGTTGGAGCCTTTAAAAAATTGAACACAATTTTTTTTTTTATCTAATTACTGTGTTACTATCAGGACGAAGGCCTAGGGCGCAGAAGTCAGTGGAATGCATCTAATAAATAAATAATAACCAAATATTTAAATATTATTCAGTAAGTCCCTTTTTTTTTTAAAAGGGCCATAAAAATGACCCTTTTTTAAAAAAAAAAAAATTACATCCACATACATTAAATTAATTGAACGTACATTTACGACTTGAAGATTTTCAAAGAAAAGTTTTTTTATTGTGTGTAGGTGTTGGTGTAATGCGATTTCACAAACAGCGTAGTGGTGCAGATTTGAATTAAAATTATTAAGTGATTCACAGATTGTAATCAGGTGATTATGTTTAAAAAATAAACGATAACATATTAAATTGGAAATTATAAATCAAATTTATGTGGGGTAGGGGTGAGCAGAATCGTACGCTTGTAGATACTTGTTAATCCGGCCTTGTTTATATTCAAGCATTCTGATTAAAGGATATTATTTAGCTCTATTTAGGATCGTGTGAACAAGGGGTGCAAAGGGGGCACTAACCTCAGGTGCGATCTTCGTAGGGCGCCTAAATCCAGACTTTGGCACGGGCGCTTCTGTTGCTTGCCGCGACTAGTTCTTAAAACCAAAATGTAATGGACAGTGTTATTTATAAATATTTGATTATCTCCATTCTCCAAGTCAGACCTGCAAACATACGGCCAACGGGCCGCATGCGGGCCGCCAGCACCCAATATGCGGCTTGCGAAGTAACGAAATAATCTTTATTATTATTTTTAAAAAAATATATTTTAAATATAATATTATTCACTATTTGTGCTATTTTTCGGTTATATTATATGGCATAATAATTGATTATTTTAAGTACTGTATCAGATTTACATTTTATGCATTCATGTTCTAAAAATTACTTTTCTAAAGATTTTGGAAGTATTTTAGGAAGTTTAGTCCTCTACAACAGTATTTTATTTTATGAAATTCCTGTCAGCTGTCAGTGAGTCGCTGTAGCTCTTCGTTGTTCACTACACTGCCACATTCACTACACTGCTCCATTTACTACACTGCCC